GATAGTGCGGACATACGCGGACAAAAATGCAACCCACCTGCGTGCATACCAACCTACTTTCAGCGCGTTTCCTATCACGACGGCATCGACATCGATCATCTGTAGATCGGCCGTTCGCAGCCCCATCCACCAGCAATAGCACTAGCGATCTCTCGCAATCCTGATCACCCATACACCACAAGCGGGCCCGCCGTGACCCTATGGCATCGATCTTGCGCCCTCATACGGGAAACGAACTGCGTGGTTGTTTGTGTCCAAAGATACCTTCAGTCAGCAGTAGATTGGCCAAGGAAGAGCGAGGTGTCCAACTCTTGACGCGATCGGCGAGACGTGTAACCAGAGGTCCGCCCAATTCCAATTCAGATGGGATGGGTGCTGAAATCTGATAATTTTCCAGTAGAAAACGCCACTCCGCGAATAATCAGGTTTTCCAGCGTCTGAAACACCAGGTCCCTATCTCCTTCATGACATTCTTGCAGGGTAACCTTTTCTCCTCGTCTGAAAGTAGAATGCCCCGCCACCCAAAACATTAGCAGAGTGTTTGATGAAGTTGTCCCTCGATACGTGACAGGAGTTGGCTGAGCAGGCGTGGTACAGCGCCACGCGACGGACGCCATCAGTGAGACAGAGCACCTCTATAGACTCTGAGTTCAGTTCCGCGGATATCCTCAGAGTTTTACGATCATCCACTCTGCATCTTACGACAGCCGCGTGAGGACTCTCGTCCTCTCTCTGCAAGACCCCAACAACTGCGAACAGGTTCAATGACGATCCGACCGCCCCATTTGCATGCAAAAGCAATCCCTTCGTCCCTCCGCGCGGTAACATAACCTGGACGACACATCCCGGCTCAATCGTGTCATGCGAGTACGTCCGTGGGGACGCACTCAAGTAGCTTCTGCGAACGCGCCGAGCAGACGAGAACAACTTGACTTCCGACTTCTTTGACGTATCAAATTATGGACGGAGATTTTCCAGGATGTTTGTAGCCCGTGACAAAAGCTGCGACAAAAGCTGAGATGAATCTATTGTTTCTGTTTCTGATATGCAACATCTGGACAGCTAATTGACATCCTTTTCACAATTCCCCTCCCATCGTACGGAATCTCCCGTCCAAGCGGGGTTGACCTTCCCATTCGACCGCATCTCATCCATCAACGGTTTGACAAATAAATCAGATATACTAACCTCTGTGTCCTTCAGGAATCCCTTCAATTCATCCGAAGCCTGTGACAACTCGTTGCAAGCTTCGCCGAGAAGCAAGCGTCGAAGGCCTCTCCTGCATTCCATCTTCAGTCCGGCATCCGAAGTTTGTGTCATAGTGCTGGACAGCAACGCCAACCGCCCTTGCCAATCATTCCCCAAACAATGACCCACGGCCGCTAAATGTCCTTTTTGGTGATTACCCCGGACTATGCACCTCTTCAAAGGTTGATGAGCATTCTCGAACACCAGTTCCATAAAGTGACGTACATGCCCGAAGGCAGGAATTGTGTGGTTGTACAACTCGATTAACCTGGGCAGGTTCGGCTTGTCCAAGCTGGGGCGACCTTTACCCACTCCTTGGCAATAATTTGCGCAAAACTTGTCTGCCTCAGTCACATACTTCTCAGCCCTTTCCAGCAAGTCTGCATGGTATTGAGCTCCATTATCACTTGTCACATACAAATAATCTGAGACACCATCCGCCTCTTCCGATGGCCACCAGTACGTCAACGCAATCAATTCCTGCAATTGCGTCAATAGATCCAACACAACAGTGGTTTCTTCACTCTGGATCCCCGGGAACAGTTGGTAGAAAACCGGAACGCACACGAGAAGCACACAGAACACACCTGACAGAGTCATGGAATTGAGTTCATTCTTGGAACTAAAAACTGATGATTGCCTCTTCAACCCATTGTCTCGGAGGGCTCCGCATATTGCCATGTCAGCTTTTGCCCTGAACGCGGCCGCGTTTCCTTGTCGGTTAATGACGTGGAAGCCTACCTCGATAACGTTCTTCGCGAGACCGGCCAGCAAATGGTCAGGCGCGACGACGTTGCAGCGATATGCCTCAAAACGTCCTGACACCACACGCTTTCCAGCGCTTGTTAACGGTATGTCAACTCGTACGCGCTCAAGTTCCCTTTGCAATGCAAGAAGAGGAGAACTTTCGTCACTTACCTTGTTGCTGTCTTTCATACCAAGCCGGTTTGTGTCTCGACTGTCAATTTCGCTGTTGCGAAGAGCGTCATGGCGTTCCATGCACCTCAAGGACGCCGTGCGGTGTGCATGGACTTTTGTCGTATAGCCGTATCCGCTCTCACCGACGCCGGTGTTCTTCCGAAATGTACAAAGAGTGCAGGGCGTATTTGCTGTATGTCCCAAAACATCCAATGTTTCAGCGGCCGCTGGATAGTCAGCCACAAAACCCACAACGTCGACAAAGATTCTTACTCTCTCGCCGGTAGGCGTGTGTGCTTCCACACCTTCTGTTGTACACTTAACCAAGTCTGGAATGATTGAGAGCAGTATATTGTTCGTTGATACACCTGGAGGAGTTAATCCAATGATTCTGACAGACGATCGCGTGTTACGACTTCGCGGTGGTAGTCCAAGCGGGATCATGTAGCATCCACCTGCTGAACCCTGCGGATACAATGAAGAGAATGGGGAAAAGTCATCGCAGTATAGGAGAGCGCGATAGACCACGAACTTTGTTCCATCCATTAAGCGGCCGCTGTTTTGCATTCTTCTGTCAATGTTGCAGGTGCATCCCGATATTTTGGGCTCTTGGAGGAGGAAAGGCAGCCCTTTCAAATGTTGAGTACCGAGCAGACAAAAGGGTTTGTCTGGAGTTCCATCGGCACCATCATTGAAACGCTGACCGGCCCCGTTTGCACTCATGTTTTGAAACCAAAACAAAGTGTCTGAGCTGAGACCATCCTTGTGTTTCCAAAACCTAGAAACCAACATACACATTCTCGACGTTGCCACTACTTCACTTTCTGTAGGTCGAAGAAGGGTACAAATATCCCCAGGCAACACCTTCTTCGAAGAACGAGCCCTTGCTTCAAAATCTATCCCTCCATCTCTACGCCTCACAGATCTATTATACTTTTCCAATGGCGGTGCTGTAAAAAACTGCCTGGCCAGGCAATTCTCCACGCCACGGAGAACCTTCATCGCCATGTTGGCGCTTCTTGTAACATTTCCCTCACTTCCCACGCACCACACGGCTGAAATTATACACTTCATTACAAAGTTATTCTCTGCGTTCTCATGAACACGATAGCCCAGCTTGCGCACGTCAAGTGACAAACGTGATGGAAGCAGTTCTGACAGTTCCAGTCGAATCACGGCACCCGGGAACGCCTGCACAGTACATGAACCATTGTGGACGTAAAGTGCTGTCGTAGCTTCCGATATTATCTGCCGCTCTGCAACCAGCTTCGAGCTTTCTATGCATTCTGCGTCCGCCACACCACCATGCCATCGACTGGATTTTGGATACATTGAGTTGAAGAACGGAGCCATCATGATGTCCACTTTCGCCCATTCACTTGGTGGAACAATACGAACAGGAGTTTTAGACCCGTTCGAATATTGCGATGCGGTCTCCTCGTTACCCCCCAAATTTTCAACCAATGACGTTCGGTTGAATGCCTTCTTCTTTCGTCGGACGACAAAGTACTTGAGGTCACTCTTGGGAAAAAGATACTTCAAAGCATGCCGAAAGAGAGTCCTCTGCACGGTGGAATAAGATGGGACCTTAATAGAAGGAGAAACCCAAGACAGTATATCTCTCAGGAGGTTATACTGTCTGACCGTATAGCGGACGTTACCGCAAACTATTACGAAGCCCAAAAGGTTGTACCATGGTTCGAAAAGCTTCCGAGACGATAGAAATAATCGCAAAACTTTCTGGCTGTCCAGCCTGCTTCCCATTTCGGGATCGTCACTTGACAAACTCGGAAGGCACTCCATCCTCTCACAGCTCTCTTAATAAATTCTTGGAATAATGATATTGTCATTTCCCACTAAAACACCGTTTGGATCGCTCTCGGGAGCGAATTGTTCCGAGTCGCCAAGTTCTGGGAAGTGGCCTTCATCATAGTCGACAAGATCTATTCCTTCTTCTACGACAACCGTTTCTCGATGTTCCGAGCCCTTTATCTTCGATCTAGTACCATGATCTCCAGTCTGATTGTTCGACGAAGCGTGCCCATTCAACACTCCCAAAATATCAGCCGCTTCGCCAGTTTCCGGAAGCTCGAGAGCTGGGGTTTCTTCTGCTTCCATAAGTGCGGCCGCATCTGCATCCCCATCGAGATCGCATCCTGGTCGTGTATGAACGTCATGGAACAGGGCTGCCAGGTCTGGCAAGTTAGGGACGTTGTCCATCCAAGTAGTGCCCATCGTACGACGTCTCTTTCTTCGACCTGACATATGAGGAACGGTGGTGCTGTCGTCCGATATTTTCGTGTGGATTATGGTGTTGGAAGAAGTGAGAGTGTAGGATGTTGTTGAAGGAACAGTGCGCAGGGGTCCCCAGGCCTGGCGGTTTAGATTTTGCACACCAAATAATTACATTACAAGTGGCGGTCTGCTAGTGTCTATCCGACCGTGAGGACAAAATTTTAGGACAAAGGGATTTTTCTTCGAACTTCTTGCTTGTTTTTTAGTTCTGATTTGACTACTGGGTACTCCACATAGCCCTTGACACAATCAGCATAAATCTTTTGTTGTGGAGACAAGTTCTACCTCTAAAAGTGAAGCAGAACCTGGAAATCTTCACTGTAAGCAGTTTTTCTTTGTAGTACGAAATTGAAAATGGCTTCTTCGTGATTTACAAGGTATTTCATTGACAACCCCACTGTTCAAGTGCGATATGGCTGTCTTGAAGTATTCTTTCAGAAGAATTCGTGTCGGCTAAATGATGAAAAATTATTAAATTTGTCGGATCTGTTGAGGTATGATAAGCTTGGTCGGTCGGATACACACTACAGTACAGGGTATTAACTCTGCCTTTCTCTGTCCAGCATGAGTTGCCCACCCCGCTCACCGATTTCCTCCCGACCGTCTTCGACGCCGCCCGCACACACGCTTCCGCTGAGACGGAGATCTCTGCCCTCGACGCCATCAAGATCGCACCCATCCCCGTCTCCCCGCGCTCGCTCGAGGCCGCCTTGCGCCTGCTCGCCGCCTTCGTCCCGTCCCACAGTCCCAATATCGGCAATGGTATAGGGATGGTTTCTGATAAAGTTGCCGCCAAAGTATATGCGATCCAAGTTGTGCACACGGGCGTTCAGGTAGGCGATCTGGCCAATATTGTAGGAAACCATTCTCAGTAATGACAGGGCTATGTCCTGCTGGCGAAAAGTGGCGCTGAGATCCGTGGCGGTTACGGGGGCTGCGCGCGGGCATGAGAGCGCGGAGGATATCGCCGATGCAAGGCACGGCTTCAAAAAATGACATCCACAAGTCGAACGAGCCCTTGACGGCACGGGAGAAGCGGTCCTTCAAGTTATGCCACGAGAAGTTGGGAAGCTCGGGAGGGTCGATAAGCATAGTGGCCTTGCCGAACGAGGCGGCGATGACGCTGGAGTCGAGACCGAGGTTCGAGTACGCACCGCCATAAATATCACCGACAAGCATATCAACGTTTGCGTTGTCGCCGTCATGGGTGAGGCGGATGACATCATCAAAGGTGGCGCAGTCAAGCAGCATGCGCGCAAGTCCCCAAAATGTGCCGCCGCCTAGCGATGAGCCGCTGACACGCTCAAACTGGCCGTGACCAGTGACTTTGACGATGGAGACACCTGAGCCGATGTTGACGAGCAGATAAGGGAAGGGATGGCGGGTGGTGTCGACAAACTTGCGGGCAAAATCCGGGGCTGGCTCATGGACGGAATCGGATGGGGCAATGGTATGGGCGGGCTGTTTGTGTGGCGGGATGTACGCGTAGACCTCCTCCTTGACTGTGGTAAGGAGGAAGTTGAGGCCCGCAACGGTGCAGGACATCTCGTCGAGACGTGCGAGCGTGACGCCGATCTCATCGACAAAGGTGGATGCATACTTGTACGAGCCGCCGCCAGTGGCGCGGATGAGTGTGTGTGCGCCGGTGGAAGGGTGGCTGTCGTTGGCCCAATGGGAGCGGATGAAGCGAAGGAGCTGGTGGATGTTGCATGTCTCGAAGGCGAAGATATGCAAGACGCCATTGAGTTCCGGGACATTGACGGAGAGGGCGGAGGCGACATTACCGTCGACGCGATGGATGAGGAGGGGGACGGTGGAATGGAGGGTGCCGAAGGGTTGGAGGTAGATGATTTTGGCGAGCGAGCCGCCGATGTCGAGGGCGAGGGCGGTGGATTCGGCGAGCAAGTTGACTTTGGAGAGGACGGCGAGGGCGGTGTCGACTTGGACGAGCTCCTCGGGTTGGGAAGTGGGGTTGGGGGAAGGGGAAGAAGGGGCGGAGGTCGGGGCCATAGATGCTGGAGCCATAGTGGATGGACTGCGTCGACGGGCCGGGGGAGGAGCGGGTGTGGCGGGTGCGGGATTTGGTTAAGGAGCGGGAATGCGGGGGGAACGCGTGTGAAGATGATGTACACAATCAAAACAAAAGGAGCGAGTGGACGACCCAAAGGGATTTCTTCAAAACTTGTTCAAAACTTGATCATGATCCCGATGCGGAATATGGATCCCGATTTACATTAGTGAGCTTACGCAAACCGGATTCTGCAGATTTCTGCAAACAATTCTGCAAAAAACCTTACACTGAAATTGCATATACAGAATTCTGCAATCAAGTCGTGACAAAAATTGCCGAAATGTGAGTTTTTAGTGAAGAGAATTTCAGCATGGTTGTGAGAAATGATAGGGACAAGTGTCGTGTAATTGGCGGTAGTTTGATAGGATACATGCATGATACACAGCGATACAAGATTACCAATTCGTTGCCGCCACCGCTTGTGTCACCCTTACCCTCCTCGCCTTGTCCGACTTAACAACCCCTACCAGTTCCTTGAGCGCCTCCATCGGATTCCGCTCTCCGCCAAACACAACCGTCCCTCCCACCTTCCCCGCCTCCAGTATCTCTGCGGTCTCCCTAGCCGCCTCCACCCTCAATTCTGTCCTCACGTGCGACAACCCGGCGTTCAACGTCGCCGCCATTAACCTTGCAAACGGCCTCACCTTCCTCATCTCCTTACGCATCTCACACTCGTCTCCCTCCCGGCCTTCCTCACGCCGGTCGCCTCATCGCACAGCGCGTCCAACCGACGCGAACTGCACGCGGGCCATGGCCCAACGGGAGGCCGGGTGGAGCGACGAGCTCGCCGACCCGCTCGCGCACACTCTCCCCACGGGAGAGCCGCGTGGTGCAGGCGCAGACCAGTTTCAACAGCTCAGGACGTGTCTCGCAGACTTTGCGCAGGAGTCGCACGACAGGCTCACAGCGCACGAACGGCGCGCCCAGGAGCTGCTTCGTCGCATCGGCGAGGCGGAAAACGGCGGGCCCATGTGAGAGACGCGCTGGAAGTGGGGAGATAGCGCCTTGTAGAACTCGACGCTAGCGAGCTGTTGCATCGCGCTTGCGGTAGAGTCGGGTGCCATTGTGTAAATTTTACCCTGCCTGACAGCGCCGTTGATTTTCTGCACAGTGAGACGGCGAGGGAGACGGCGGGAGGGGCTGCCGCAAATGGCGGGCGGGACGAAGCGGAAGCGCGGAGTCGGCGAGGGACAGTGCTACACGAGCGCGATGGCATTACCAGCACTAGAAAGCGCAGTCTGACACGGGCGCAAAGGTGGCAAGCCGGAGCGAACCGTTCTGGGAGTTGACCGTCTGGTCGGGAGCGGGAGGCACTTCGTGATGGAGGTCTAGATTAGCGGGGAATGCTACGACGCGGGCTGCTGCGGTTACCCGCGAGAGGGAGGGAGGAAGCGGGCGGTGGCGTGGGGGAGCCGCCCGCAACCTGAAACGCACACAAACTCTCGGCAAACATGTAATCTTGATAGTCCTTGATACAGTAGCATGTGCCATTTTCATTGCCAAATCAAGAGTTGCTGTGGTGTGACAGAATGCGGAGTCGTGTAGATCGTCTGCAAACAGAATTGCAGAACGCGACTTGCGAAGGGACTTTTTAACGTCTCACCAAAGCTGTGCGATGGTCCTTTTGCCTCCCCCGCCCCATCGTGCAATCGACGGCTACCTCGATCGCCGTCGTTGCGACGATGGTACCACTCTACAGTGTCTAGTTGTACTGCATGCCCTTTTCGTCTAATACTCCCATGTTTGAAAGTCTACGTTTGGCGTAAACGTTTTAGAAAAGTGTTCACAAATTTTTCAGAAATGGGTTTCGGCAATTGATGATGCAGAATTTCTGCATTTGTATTGCTGAAATTCTCGTTTGCGTAAGCTCTGTATTATGGACGTGTATGATCGCGAAGGAGGATCCCCACTCCATTTTCCAGCCGGGCCCGCTCGCTGTATCCACCGACATGGAGGCACCATCTACCATAACAACCCCAAGAGTAGGGTTCAGTTGTGTCGTGCCAATGTACTGTCACAAGACATGACATAATTGCCTTACCGGTAAGTCTTCTCGTGCGGCACTGAGGTATGGAAAGGTAGATGCTGTAGGGTACCAAATGATCTTACAAAGCTTTTGATCGAAGACGCTTTGCCGCACAGTATACTTCTGAGGCCTTCTGCCACGGATCCTGCTGCAGTGTAAAAACAGTCAAAACTATAAAGCACTGGACGTTTATCAATCAATCGCAGCTCAATTTGCAAGCCTTGAACTGTGTTGCAGGGGAACATCGTTTCTAGAAACGCGTTAGTAATGCAGGCTGCACGGTTGGAACACGTTCCAACCGTGCAATTTTAGAACAGAGAGACTCGTCCGTCCTATGTGAGACTAATCGCAGTTGTGGACACTTCACTAAACTTGTTGTTGGCAGTGTAGTCGTAGACACCTGCCAAACATCCCTCCACCTCCAAACCAAGACATGCTCCTGATTTTATGCCTGCGCGGAAGTCACTCTCATATGAAGGCGTCCTCGTGTTCCGCCTCTCGCCTTAGCTGCCTCTCAACTTGGAAATCAGACTCCCGCTTGACGCTTTCGCGGGTAGATAAACTATAACCGTTCTTGTGGCACTATGCCGCGCGTTAGTCAGAGAGAGATAGATGGGCGAAGCACTAAGATGCAAGAGCTATGGTTCGAGCAACCGAAAGTATCTGAAACCTCAAAGCAAAGAATTTCATTATCGTCTTGGACGTGACTTCAAAGCAGTGATGCGGCTGGTCTGGTGTCCATTTTCCACACGTGGATGGCCACACTATGCAGCTTCAAAGTGTTGGTGTGCACCAGTACAATATCAGCCTGGATCTAGTAGAAACTAACAGATATCCGTCCTATACTATATTTTACATTAAAAATGGCTCATCAAGCTAGACCAGCGGTAGATTTGATACGATCAGAAAAGTGTGCTGCGCGCGCGCCAAAAAATCTAAAACAAATTTCGAACCACTAAATCTACCGGGCCATTCTAAGAAATCATTTCAGATATTGAAAATCTGACCTCGTAGTGCGCGAGTTTGGAAAGTCCAGAGCCAGTGTGCTGGAAAGAGATCTTCGGAAGGGGGAAGGACAGTTGGACACGCAGGAAGAAGGAACCGAGAGTCAGGAGTATGTGATCGACAAGATCGTGGACCATGGCTACGACGAGGAGAAATTAATTCTCAAAGTGAGGTGGTATCGGTATACCATCGAGGACGCAACGTGGGAACCTATTGAGCAGATCCCCCACAGCGCGGTAGTCACATATTTCCGAAGGAAAAGGCTACCCTTACCCACGCAAGCGTCGCACGCACAACCGGGATAGCCATCGTAAATAGAATTAGTAGGTTAGAGACAACAGAGAGGTCAGAACTTCAAGAAAGGAACACATCTACGGGGTTCGCAGATAAGGAGTTTGAAGGAAAGGAGAGCAAGGCTGAGAAGCGAGACTGTATCCTTGGATGAGGCATTGAGCCTCTCGGAAAACACACACGCTTCATCACGGTACGCACGAGAAATGACGTTTCGAACGGACGGTCCGCACACGTGGGGGGGGATGATGAAATCAAATTGTATATACATATGTAAGCGTGTTGACAACAACCCGCTGAACCGGCGACACAAGTGAGAAGTCGATTCCAGCCATGCTGTGAAATTATAATCAAAAAGCAGGAAAAATTGCGGCAGCTGCAGTACGCACGATAAGTGGTGATCGTTTGCCACAGTCGGCGACATAACTATTCTAAGTCGCCCTGCAGCCAAGCCCCACCCGACCTCACACGAAGCCGATCGTCACACTCCTTGCTAACACACTGCCCATGCTCGCCGAGCACGAAGACTCGTCCAAAGGGACCACCCTCAGAAGAGCGCAGCTACGAATTCACCCGCGGTGACCGACGTCGACGCTCACAATCGGTCTTATTACCTTTTTTTCAGGACGGTCTACTTAGCACTTACCACCATGATTTCTCTTCAACTCTGTCTTTTCCTTGTTTCTTTTCTTTCCCTCTTTTCTGTTCTGTTTTACTCTATTCTATTTGATCTTATTTCTTTTTTTGTTGTCGCAGGACTCTGGCGACGCGACCGCGTATCGCGGACTTCGATCAACAAGATCCCAAGGCAAATCGATAGACGGACGAGAAGGAGAAGGAAATTGCACCCGTCAGGAGCACGAGAGAAGATGGTGCGCAACTACGAATCCAAAGGACCCCACATTTCGCATACGCGAAAATTGGTATTCTCGGGGAGAAAGGGGCAACGAAGGACTACAGCTGATACACTTCGACCACGGAGTATTGCTCGTGTTCCTTACGGACGTGCTTCTTTCAAATGGGGATTACACCGACGATGTCAGTTTCAATGACACAACCGGTACATGAGCAGCATCAAACTTCGTCGAAAAGAGTATAATTAATACCAAACCAGCAATTAGAACGCAGAGCTGACGCAGGACACACCCCTAG